GCTCTGATGATGTCCATCATATAATGGACAAAATCTCAGCACGTTTTCACCTGAACCGAGGGAGAAAGTCTAGTAGACTGCGTCACCATGAATATCGTATATAAGCCAAATGGCTGCAGCATAACGAGATTTATCCGTCTTCATCTGGTGAGATCGACCAACGAATCCCTTCTTCATTCAATTTCATACGAAATGAAAGTCCCCCAATAATGCGAAATAGATAAATAAAAGTAGACAGCATTAATAAATAAGATTCCAATGTTTATACCTTACTGTGTGTCTTATTAAAGTATGAATAATTTGGTAAGGTGTTTTTTTGCATTCTAAAAGTAAATATGTTTTTGTTTGATTTCTTTATATGCACTATTCTTAATGTATTTCAATGGCGCCTACGCTTAGTTATGGATAGCTTTCTTAATCCTTTATCTCGCAAGCTCATCTTTGTCCAAACGCCGGAATGTAAGTCGAATACGGAAAATGTGCAGAAGAGTGACGATTTGGCAAGAAATCCAAAGACTACTGTTGCTCGATACCAACGACCCACAGTCCGTAAGTGTATAAAGCCATTAACTTAAGTAGTTCTTACAGGTGGAAATAGATCTGAGTCACCTTCGCTTTCTTGTCCGCGTACGTTAGAACACCTTTCACCATCGCCTTCATCTGACAAGCATGTTTACCTTAAATTTATTACCATTAGATATGACTTTGAATGTCTTCAGCGTGAGCTGGAAAAGAAGAGTGGAGTCATTACCTACAATGAACAGGTTATATTTCTCCTCATTACATAATATTTTTTAGACAATACAAGCAAGTATGGATGATTTTATAAATCGGGGCTGTTTGGGTGCAGGCACATGCAGTGTTGTGTATAAAATGCAGCATCGAGAATATCCTGATCTTCTTTTGGCAGTCAAGTATATGAGAAGGTCCTCTCATTGTCACGAAGAAAACAAACGGATAATGATGGATCTTAATGTCGTCACAAAAAGCTGTGATTGTCCCCACATTGTTAAGTGTCTTGGGATTTTTTTTACAACGGTAATTCTTTTGTTCTCTTAAATTCAGAGTGATGTTTGGATATGCATGGAAATAATGTCAACTTGCCTAGACAAACTTCTCAAAAATCATGGTCGTCCTTTTCCTGAAAAGGTTTTAGGTAAAATCACCGTAGCGGTAGGTTTAGGATTTTATTAACTTCTCTTTATAGATAATTAAAGCCCTGGAATACTTAAAAACAATTCACAAAGTAATGCATAGAGGTATAATTGTATATATAATTTATTTATTTTTAGATGTAAAACCATCGAATATGCTACTTAGTTCAAAAGGGGAAGTCAAATTGTGTGACTTTGGGATCAGTGGCAAACTCAAAGATTCAATTGCTCGCTCTCGTCAGCTTGGGTGTATTGGCTACATGGCACCAGAGCGTCTAGATACGCCTACTTATGATGTAAGAGCTGACGTCTGGTCTCTCGGTATATCTCTCGTCGAACTTGCTACAGGATCATTTCCTTACAAAGGCACGGAAGCTGAATTCGCCATTATGAGTAAAATCATATCGGATCCTCCACCTACTTTGCCTCAGGATATGCTTTTTACCACTGCATTTCGTCATTTTATCGAATTATGGTGTGTAAATTTTATCATTTCGACCCGTTGAAAGCCATCCTTGAGTTGCATTTAGCCAATCCCTACTTTGTTCAATATCTTAATACTGGATATTATTTATCTGCATAGG